TTAAGAAGCCCAATGCAAATTATTCAGAGTTTAAGCAAAAATAGAGAATCTATTAACTCACATATCAAATCAAGAAAAAAATGGAGGTGGATCTAGCATAAAAAGAAATTGGTCAAAGAGCTCTTCTGGCCTCTCTGCCTTTTCTCTGGGAGTTAATGCTACTGTCTGAGACCAAACTACTTCTCCAGGAGCCTGACTACAACTTCAGGGAGCTAGCTAGCTCCCGGCTCAGAACTCCACATTATATATATTTTGGTTATTAAAAAGAGCATTGCTCTCCTCCAGCTCCAATTCTAAAAATCCCAGGAAAGAATCCTAATGGCCTGGCTTGGGTCAAGTGTCCACCCCTACACAGACAGGAACACATAAGAAGAGGGCATGTCCAACCTGAACCAGGGAGCTACAGCCACCAGAGAAAGAGATGACCATGAGGAAGAGCAAGGACAAAGGAAGGACAGACATAACTGGCGGAGAATATATATACCACCTGAGCAGCCACCTCAAGTTTTGGCTACCATGTTCTGTAAATACTGTCTTATAATCTGTTCTCATTGAACACAGTGGTGAGTATGTAGACATCAGAACTACTTGACAATCTTTTAAAAACTGGATACTCAGGTCCCACTTACCTATAAAGACTTTTCTAGAAGGACTTCTGTCACGAGCATTTTTCCATGTCACTGAATATTCCTTAAAAACATGGTTTTTAATAGCTGCACAGAATTCTAACGTGGTTCTAAATTTTTTTCAATTTAATGATTTAAATCCAGAAAAACCACATACCATCATGATCTTTTTTTGAACATAATACTCACAAGAGTCAAAAAGCATTTTATGAAAGCACCAACCACTGACATCTCTGCCACACCTTTCTCAGAAACTATGCCACAGGATTCTTTGTGGGGGGTGGTGGCAGGAGGGTGGATTATGGGGTGGGCGGAGACAGTTAGGTGACCTTCTGAGACTTACCACTAGTAAAAATCTAGCACTGAGGGTTTAACAAATGTCTGTAAGGGACAAGGATACAATATACCTCAAAGTATGGCCAGAAGAGCAAGGTCTGTCATAACCTAATTAAAGTAAGACTGAAGATTATAAACAAACACACTATAACCCAACTAACAGAGGGAAGTTAGTGACAAGAGGAGGAAAAAAAAAAAGCAGCCTCAGAAGTCTAAGGAAATGAAAGCCTAAGAGTTTATCACATGCTCTCATATTAGAAGAAAGGGATACATCTGATAGGGATGCAAGCCAACCTTCCTGGTCTGTTAGCATTAGTCGCTAAAATCATTCAACTAATTTCCCTTGCTGATGTCATGTTCACCAATCAATTTCTTAATTATACTCTGGCTTTCTATAGGCAAAAGAATACAATGGCCCACCAGGTGTAGACAAAGCTGAGAAGGAGGTGAAGAACAGGACCTGGACCTTGCTTATCTTATCCTGCCAAGGCAATGCCAGCTCAAAAAGACCCACAGCAGACACTGATTGCCCAAACTCCTTTTCTGACATTTCTTCTATTTTCCCTTTAAAGAAACTATTTCCAATCACCTACTGATTGGCAACATGTAAGTGTCTTTAAAAAAAATACATACCACCCAGTCAAATAAGAAGGCTGGGACAATAGAATACTAGCAGTAAAAAGATAATCATTGAGAAATGAGGAATTATTAAGTAACAGGAAGTTATTAAAGCAAATGTATCCAGTAAGCAGTCAAGACCTTATATCCCCATATTTCAGGTAGAGCTCAGAACAAGATTTACAAGACACCAAAAGACATGTGGAGGAAGTGGAAGCAACTTCTAATAATATGACAATTAAAGGGAAGCACAAAGTTCTTCTTGAGAGACAAGTTGTCCCCATTTCAGAACATGAGAAAGCTTCTGCCATCACTGGAGCCCTTTGTTACTGCTGCTACGTGGTTTCAGCTTCTCTGCCCTAAGCTGCCCCCACCAATGGGATCTCATGGTATCATGGTCTCAAGCCACGCCCATCACTGATGCTGCCCAGGCAGTCTGCAGCTGCACCAGAAGGTGGATTTCGCTAGGGAGAATAGGTGACATCCAATGTCAAGACTGAAACATGTAGGCTCAAAGGGGACATTCAAGTTGAGAGAGAGATCAAATAGCCTAGGAGTGACAGAATATTCAAGTACTCTTTTACTAGTGAAACCCATTTTTTTCAAAGGAACTTACAAGAACCATATTATATAAATAGTAAATAAAAGTACCTTGGTTTAAAAAAAAAAGGTATTTTTAAGTTCATGTAACATGTACTTTTCAAGGTCAGTAAATGAGATCAAATGAGGCTATTTTAACATAAATATTTTAAATGAAAAGTTACAGATTGGAGCAGTCGTTTAGAAGTAAACATTTCTTATAATTTCTTTTTCAAACTTCTGGGTCGTTTGTAGGAGGATCCTGAGATTGCAAGGAGAGCTATTAAAACTAATTTGGAACAATTTACTTCTGTGATTTCTTGAATCTGCACTTAAAAAAACAGAACTTGGATATTAAGGCTGTTAAGTTAAATCACTAACAACTGCTACCCTTAGGATTCTTTATCAAAAATAAGAACAAGAAGTATCCACGACTGACAATAAGCAGTAAAACTATAACAGAGTACTATCTCCTCTCAACCTGTTTTGTGTTCCTTGGTGATTGCATAACTCTCACGTCGGCACGCACCAAGCAGATGTGCTGGGCTGGCACCTGCCACAGGGGTGCACTGGCCAACATGTGTAGACCTGCATCCTACAAAAGACCTATGCATTACAGCAGCCTTCCTAATCAATGACACGTTAACATAAAGTACACGAACAAAGACGGCAGAAAGAGTTTATTTTGTCTGTCCCAAAACCAGTTAACCTGGGAGCATAAATCACCACCTTATTGGTCTCCAGTGTTAAAACGTGGCGTCTATCATTTTGAACGTGCATACTGAGCTTCTTTTAAAAAGTTAAACACAAATAAAAGAAATTCAAATAAACAGTGGCAGAACCCCTAAAGCACCTTTTACTAATGCTCAGACAGTGTGTCAGAGGTCAGCTCTGCGTATTGAAGAGGTGGTGGTGACAATGAGGGTGTGTACAAAAGAGAAAATCACAGCTTTGTCAAGTAATCTGTTTTACAGATTTGCTATTATAAAATTAACTGTAATGTTGCTAAGAAAAATATTTCTAAGATCTTCTTGTTCCGCACACTGCTGTTCCCTTAAAGTTGGATGAAGCCCATTTATCCTGACCTATTTTTATTATAACAAAGACAGACAAAAACCTGACTGAAACAAAAAAAAAAAATCAAGGTTTCTTTTTACCATTGGAGAAAGTGATTTTTCGGCACATTACCACTTCTCTCTGCCCTTTTTACTTTGACCTAAGAAGGTTCACTTCTGTTTTTTCCCAGTAAGTACCATTATGCAGATTTATAACCTCTGATCTGCCCATTTGGGTAATAAAATCAAGCCTCTTCTTCAAGGTGTATAGGGTGTGCAACGTGCAGCCAGACTTGAGCTCGCCTAGCTGTGAAAACTTAGACAAAACACCTAACCTTTGTGCCTGTTTACTCATTTGTAAAAAAGAGATAACAGGACCTACTTCATAGGGTGGTTGTACAAATTAAGGAAACAAAGAAAATGGCACATTTTCAGCAGTTAGTAAGTGTTCACTATTATTACTCTTAAAGAAAAACTTAAGTCAAAATGCCCAAAGATAATTTACTAACGAATTTACATAATAAGCTACCTGACAAGAGTTCTAAAAATGTTAGATGTATTCAAAAGGAACAAAATGAATTCTCATTATACCATGTAATATTATTTAGAGAAGCTGTTCCTTAAAAGTTCATAGAAGTATCTCAGAATTTAGGAAAATGAAGAATGACCTTTTTCACAGCTTATAAAAATAAAACAAATCTGAACTGACTGGGTCGACAAGCAAGAATATGGTTCCTGTGTTCAGTTCTAACTACAGGTACAGAATTTGTTTTAAAATTTTTTAAGCAGGAAAAATAAAGAGGACACTTATTTGCCTTATTCCTGGAAGTACAGAGCAAGACAGTAAGATGCAAGAGGAACTCTGCAATATTTTCATTATAAGGGACAGGGGGCAGCAGTTTGCAAGTTTACTCTGGGATGCAAAGGACGGGGTAAGAGGACATTTGAACATACAAACAGGCACGTAAGAAGAGGTAAATTCTTAGTTACGGTGAGTCTGATTTCCCGATCAGAAAAAAAAAATGATATAAAACTAATTAATAGAGTCTCTAAGGAACAGAATGCAACAAATGCTCTGGGTACCAAAGTTGCACCTTAGAGCTTCAGGCGGTGGCAAAGTTTGAGAGAAATCAATCCTTTATGCGCACGTGTGAGCAACAGTCTGCACAACGCTACTACTAAAGGCGGTAAAGGGCCCGCAGAAAGAGAAACCAACCTGCCTGTTTGCAGAGTCTAAGTGCAGTTTCTCACAGGGGAGAAGGCAGGCAAAGGAAAGGGGGTGCAACAGGAGGGCAGGAGGAGAACGCAGGGAAACCGCCACAGCGTGTCTGCTTCACGAGCGTCTACTTCTTTACTCACTATTGAGTAATTGGGGCAGAGGAGAGGTAGCATTTTCGTTCAGCAACGATGCAAGCAATTTCAGCGCGGCCCCTGGTGTGAAGCTCGCGGCGGGGAGGAGGTCACAGTTCCCGCAGGACCAGGGGTGCCCCACTACGCTCCCGGCCCCGCCGCGTTCCGAGCGGGCAGCGAAGCTGCAGGGAGGGCCGGCAGGCTGGGCGCTCGGGCGGACTCGCAGTGCCCGAGCAGGGGTCCCTCGGCGCACTCGGCCGCGGTGCCCTCGGTCCCAGAGTTGCACCCCGCCCCTCTGGCCCGGCCCGGGAGCCTGGATGCAGCCCTCACCACCTGGCGGGAAGCGCAGGCCCCCACGCCCCCTCGGCCTCCGACCGAGCTCGGGCCAGGACGGGACCTGCTTTTTGCGCCGGGCCGCTGCGGCAGCCCCACTCACCTCGCCCCCCGGCAGCGCTCGGGCTCGGGCTCGGGCTCAGGCTCGGGTCCCGGCGGCGGCGGCGGCGGCGGCTCCTCCATGGCGGCGGCGGGGGTGACGGCGAAGGCGGGCGGGGGGACCAGCTCGGCGGCGGCGGCGGCTTCTCTCATCCGTGCACGGGGCCTCGCATGGCCGCTGCGGACAGTAAGCTGCAGCCCGGCGCGGGGCACCGGAGCCCCGAAGTGCGGGAGTGACTCGGCTCCGCCTCCGCCTCCGCCTCTAGCCCGCCGCAGGAACCGCTCGCGCCGCGGCCATCTTGGAAACGGCGACCGGCTAGCGCCGGGCTACGGCGGGCGGCGAGGGACAAGCCTCCGAGGGCGGCGGCGGCTGCGGG